TGTGTGTGTGTGTGTGTGTGTGTGTGTGTGTGTGTGTGTAGTGTTGGTGTTGATGTTGGTATTGTTTTAGCAATAATGTGTTTCTTGGGTCCATCTTCAGGTTAGAAAAACAAGGCTAGGTGAACTAGCTGTCACAACCAAGACAGAAAAATCAAGAATGCAGGATACCTAGGCGGGATGTCTAGATGTCTAGAAGCTGAGCTCCCCTGATGATCCCATTCTTTTTAAAAAGCTTTAGACGGCGCCGTAATGTGTATCCCATCAGGCAGTGTTTCTCAGAAGGCTGAGTGGAACACTAGGCACGCACTTCTGTCCTCCACGCTTGTCTCTACAACCTAACATGCTCTCTTCACCAAACAGAACTTCTGTGGGAAGGGTGAGCAATGTGATACCCTGGGGATGGCAGACGTCGGCACCATCTGTGACCCCAACAAGAGCTGCTCCGTCATCAAGGACGAGGGACTGCAGGCAGCCTACACTCTGGCCCATGAGCTAGGTAAGACTTGTCACACCAGAGCTTGCCTCACACATCAGAAGAAACTGCCTCTTTCACGTCCACAACTGCCTGGATTCTGAGGAGAAAGCAACCTCACAGGTAGCCAATAACAACATGGTTCTATAGAGATAGACATTGTACTTGATATCAGTGACTCCGCCCCTACTCTGAGCATAAGACCAAAATGCTAAACTGGTGTCCTGGACCATCAGTACCATTACCCAGAGAATGCCAACAGGTGGAAGAAGTGTTAGGTTACCATGATGATGTAAGTAAGCTAAGTAGTTAGACTTCATGGGGAGATGGGTTATGAAGAGAGAGTCATGGGCTGGAGAGATGGCTCAGAGGTTAAGAGCACTGACTGATTGCTCTTCTAGAGGTCCTGAGTTCAATTCCCAACAACCACATGGTAGCTCACAACCACCTTTAATGAGATCTGGTGCCCTCTTCTGGTCTGCAGGCATACATGGAGGCTGAACACTGTGTACCTAATAAATAAATAAATGTTTAAAAAAGAGAGAGAGCCGTGTTAGATGACCTACAGTAAAAATGAACAAGAGAGCCAGAGAAATCTCCCAAAATATAAAGGGATCTCAAGACCTGAGAGAAAGACCCAAAACAAAACTGTCCAGGGAATCTGGGTGGCCATACCAGTGGGGAGATGGTGACAGGAAAGGCCCCTCAGCACTGCTGGCCACACAGGGAACATACGGACAGGACAGGGCACCTGGAGGTGTGGGCAGCTGGAATGGACCATAGTTCTCTGCTCCCTCCCACCCCCACCCCCACCCAGGGCACGTTCTCAGCATGCCCCATGACGATTCAAAGCCCTGTGTGAGACTGTTTGGGCCCATGGGCAAGTACCACATGATGGCGCCGTTCTTCATCCACGTGAACAAGACGCTGCCCTGGTCTCCCTGCAGTGCTGTGTACCTCACGGAACTCCTGGATGACGGTCACGGTAGGCCCCACTCGGCTCCCCCTGGCTTCTCCCCACCCATCGGCTGTAGAGCCTCTTTCATGCCTACTGGCACCTGCTCTGCCCTGGGGACTCCCTGCAGCTGTGCTTTCTCACAAAGCCCATAGGGTGGGGAGAGACTTCAGAGGCATATCATTCTAGAAAGGCATGCTAAGCATCCTCTCAGAAATGTTCTTCCTTGCCCCCATCTTCCCATAGCCCCAGCTCCGGGCTAGCAGGTTTATTCATTTCAAAGCAGAAGGAATTAGTCTGAGAAGGTTGGCTGGAAGTGGTGAGTCTGAGCAGAACATAGAGGAATGGAAGGCACTTTGTAGTTTGAAAGAGCAGGGAAGAGAATGTTCCCGGCTGGAGTCATAGACTGAGGATGGCAGCTGAGGAATGGCAGAAAGACTGTGGGCAGGTCACAGGCGAGCAAGAATCTAGGGCAGGAGTGCCGGGTTCGAGAAGTTTGGCTTGTGGAACGAAACAGTGAAGCGAGTGTGCTGGATTCTTCTGGAGGAGGCAGGGCTATAGCTGACGTAAAAAAAAGTAGATTGTACAGATGTCAATACTCAGGATTTATTTGCATATCAGGGTTCTTAAGTGGGATGTGGTTTAATAGAGCAAGTGGCTGGCCATCACTCGATGCATGAGCATCGTTGGGGAAGTGTCTAACATGTTCTGGACAGTAAAAGAAAACTCACCCTACAGAAACCTTTGCTACAGCTACCCAGAATTAAATGAGCTCCACGCACAGGGTTGGATGTTGGTGATGTTTAGATCAAGGTTGAAGAATCCGGAATGCCTAGACACTGAAGTACATCATTCAGAATTGGAGCTTCGTGCAGGAGACCATGAGGAGCTGAGAGCAAGGCCCTGCCTTTGTTCTGACTTCTTTCTTTCCTCTGTTCTCAGGAGATTGTCTCCTGGATGCCCCCACCTCGGTCCTGCCCCTCCCCACAGGCCTCCCAGGCCACAGCACCCTCTATCAGCTGGACCAACAGTGCAAGCAGATCTTTGGGCCTGATTTCCGCCACTGCCCCAACACCTCTGTGGAGGACATCTGTGTGCAGCTCTGGTGCCGCCATCGGGATAGTGATGAGCCCGTTTGCCACACAAAGAACGGCAGCCTGCTCTGGGCAGACGGTACTCCCTGTGGTCCTGAGCACCTGTGTCTGCACGGCAGCTGTGTGCTCAGGGAGGAAGTGGAGAATCCCAAGGTGAGGAAGGTGGAGTGGTTAAAGGGCAGGGAGGAAAGGCTGGAGAGGGAGGCTGAGGCACCATATTTGAGAGTCAAGCTAAGACCCTTCAGGCCAAGCTGCCAGTGTCTTCTGTTATCAGGAAATCACTTGTTTTGTCTTTCAACAAAACAAACACTAATTACCCCCATGGGTGAGGAGCTTGGAGGCTTGCTCAGGGTCAACGGGCTGTTGCCAGGCTGTCCAAGTTTAGCATCTCCTCCTGGGGGCTGTTTTAGAGCTAATTTGAGAGGATGAAGACTGGTGAAGGTGTGAAGATAGCCTGGAGGAATCCGCTATAAATAGAGGGTGACATGGGACAGGAACATTTCATCAGGGTCTGGGTATTCATAGCCTACCTTGTTTAAGCTGAGTCCCTTAGCAGAAATCAGAGAATAAGTGTAATAGTAAGAATGTCATACTCCCAAAGGAGGAGAGAAGGGATCCGAGTGGCCCTGTGTCCAGAAAAGAGAAAACTTGGCCCAGTACAGAGGAAACTTACATGAAAAACCAAGGCAATGCCAGTGAGGGTTTTAAGTGGTTCACTTCTTCGCCTTGCTCTTAATACATCCGAACAGCAAGGCTGATCACATTTCTCCTACTGCAAGTCATGGAGCCTTCATGATGAAATACCATCCGATGAGTTTCATAGCCTGGGCCCTGCCCAGCACTGAATCGCCACGGTGGCCCAAGCACGTTCCAAGGGCTGTCCTTCGTGGCATGCTCTTGTGCTGAGTTTGGGAGCCTTCCTGGGCTGTGGAAGCCACACACTCTGATCCGAAGCCTGTGCTGGCGCCGCCTTCATGGACTCCAGCTCAGCCAGCTCCTGTTCTCCCCATTCATTCTCTTCCATGGTGTTGAGAGAAGAGGAGGGGGGTCCAACCACCCATCTCAGAGACAGGGTGACATAAAACAGCTACAGGATTCTCTGTCCTTAAAGTGAAAAGACAGGATTGGAAACTAACTTTTGTATGCGGTGTCTGCCTGTCAAATGAAGGCTCCACGGCTGTGGGATTTTATATTCAGAGCATGAGAACAGGAGGATGCTATGAAAATCATGGGAGTGGCTTCTTTCAGGGCAGTGGTGCGCTTTGAAAGTTTGCTTTCTTTTTCTTTCTTCCTATGTTTATTTTTTTAAATCTTCTGCTTTCATTTTTATATGAGCAAAGCGTTGATTTAGTGGTAGAACAAAAATTAATCTAGAACTCTCTATGGAGCTTTCAAAGAAAAGGCTTTGTTCTTGTAAGTCAGTTGTCAACTTGGAAGCCATTCTGTTTGTTGCCCAGCACTGTCCTATCCCTGGACCCAGCAGCTGATAGAATCGTGGCAAGACCTCTCATTGGCCATGTCTTTAGACCAAGGGTTCTCAGCCTTGCCGCTTGTTATATCTGGAGCTGGGAAAGACTTTGTGGGGATTGTGCACTGCTGGTTATTTAGAAGAATCTTTGTCTTAATCCACTAGGTACTAGTGGCATATTATCCTCCCTTGGTGAAGCAACCACAGTGACTCTTTACTCCTCCCATAAAGAACAGCATAGGCCCCAATGGACACCTACTGCACCAGATCCAAATTTATCCATAGAAGACTCTCCCTCATACTCATTCAGCAGCTATTGTATTGAGCACTTGACTAGGGTAAGGTGCTGTTTTATATACACTGGGAAGTCACAGCAAACAGACCCACCACAGCCTCTGTTTTTACTGAGCTACACCCAAGAAAGCCACACTATCATTGAACAAGCAGTTGAAATCATTTACAGACCTCCATACATTCAGATGAGAGTAACTAAATGAGGAAGTCAGGTCCGCAGTCAACAAGGGGCATAGACACTGAAGTCTGCTCCGCTTTGGTCCTGATTCAGTGGCATTGTGTGTTGCAGGCCGTGGTAGATGGAGACTGGGGTCCTTGGGGACCCTGGGGAGAATGTTCTCGCACCTGTGGAGGAGGAATACAGTTTTCCAACCGTGAGTGTGACAGTCCGGTGCCTCAGAACGGAGGAAGGTTTTGCCTGGGTGAGAGAGTCAAGTACCAGTCCTGCAACACAGAGGAGTGTCCACCAAATGGTAATTACCTGCCAGAATAGCCGGTGGTGTAAGTGCAACAGATCCCAAGAGGAGGGAAAGGGGAGTCTTCCCAGGAGTAGAGTTGAGTCCTGATCCAAATTTACATAGATTCTGCAAGATGCCAAGCTTGGGAACAGTCTTCAAGCACCCAGGGCAGCTCTTCCTTTAAAAAGAGGCTGGTAATAACAAAGAAAGGAGATTACTCCTGTCCTGATCTCTGAGCTGTAGAAAGACAAAGCATGCCACTCCCGACCAGATCTGCCCAGAAGTGACCTTTGGAGAGGGTCATGCGGAGGGTAATCATCATCTTAGAGGCATCTGAATCCTTCTTTATGAGCAGATGGAAGACATTTCCAAAGCAAGTGTCAGAGTCAAACCTCCAAGGCCTCTCCAGTCAACAACCAGCTCAGGCAGGAGAGAGCATCTGAGTGTGATTCCTGGGCACGTTCCTTCTGCAAAGAGCTGCCCATCTACCTGTGGGGCCATGGCGACTGCCTGCCAGAGCCTTTCCAGGAAAGAGTACCACCTCTGCCGCCCCCACCCCCACCCCGCTCAGGCCCATCCCCTAGGTCATGCTAGAAAGCACACATGTGAACTTGGACATGGAAATGTGCAGTTGCCAACTTAGGAAAGGGAATCAGGAATTTTTTTTGCCCCATCCCTTCCAGCACCAGTCTGGGCAACTCCAGAAAGTTTTAGCAGTGGGAAAAGACAAGGGGAGCTTTAGGAGAACTTCTCCCAAGTGCCAAGATGCTCTGGCATTGGACAGGGTGTCTAGTAGGGAAACCTGTAGGCTCTGGACTTTTGCTAAGCAGGGAGGTTCAGCAATGGCATGAGGCTTTCAACATTTCTCTCTGGTATTGAGAGTCTGCAGAGTAGGCATGGAGGGCAGGTGACAGTATGACTTCACATGCCCTGAGATCAGCCAGTGGCTCTCTGTGCCCATAACTATAACAGAGACAGAAGCTAGAAGTATACAAGGCATGGTCTCTGTCCTCAAGGACTTTGCAATGTGATTAGTGGCAAATTCTTTTACATAGTAATTATGGCTTCGTCTGTGAGGCAGCCACCCTGGGCTTATGAGGAATTCAGGGAAAGAAGCTCAAAGAATTTAGGTCAAGGAAGGCCCAGAGGATGATATATTGGTGAGCCAGGAGGGATGTACCAGGGATAAGGCAGGTATGAGATGTACTATCATTTGCTCAAGTGAAGCCAAGCAAGAGGTAGCAGCGCAATGAAGCCAGACCACAAAGGTCCTTAAAGCCTCAAACAGAATCTGTGAGTTGCCCATGGCAGCTGTCCTATCACTTTGAAGCTTTTGCAGATACAGCCAGGACCCCTTCAGCAGTATGGACTCACAAACTCAGCACTGTACATCTGTGTTTAGAAGTCTCCAGGGGCCATTTGGATGCACAGCCAGGGTGGAGAGGCGTGGGGGAAGAGCAGGCAGGCTTATTTCATGATTGTTCAAGGGAATCACTCACATCAGAAGGGTAGATTTGTCTGAAGGCAGTGCACATACGCCTTCATGTATGAGCACCAGTGAGGCTCCCTGGAGCCTAAGCACGGGGGCCCCAGAGGGTGGCATGAGGCCTGGGCCTGGGATTATGAAAGTCATATGCACGCATTTGAAATCACCAATTTCCTGAATTTGGCAGAGGGTGTCGTGGCACATTAGAAACAGCACCGAGAGTGCTTGAATGTTCAAGATGCCAGGGTGCCAGTCTCATTCTGGAGCATAAAAATGCCAAATCAAACCAGTTACCAGAAGAATAAGATAATGCTGTTGGGGGGGGTGTAATTATAGTACCTGTAGATGGAGCTCTCCCATAGATATTCGGAATTACAGAAAATGAGATGTAGAGGCAAGACCAGAAACGTCAGGGCGTCTTTGCCACACGTCCCTTGTTACTGGGGAAATCAACACAAAGCATAGTTAGCAAAGTCCTGAAAATATAGCTCTCTACTCGCACGTGCCCCAATGGAAAGGACACTTGTACCAGAAAGCCCAGGGTGAGGTTGGACGGCACCTCCCCTTGGATCTTTGAGGGAGGGTCCCACACCAGCACCCTGGTATGTCTAGAAATAATGGACTATGTCTGTGTCCAAAGCCTAGAGAAAGAAAGGTGCACTACATCCAGAGCTTTCTCTGCCAGAGTCCTTCGGCAGCTGCATTACTCCCGTGCCATTCCTTGCTCTTCTCAGGCAAAAGCTTCAGGGAGCAGCAGTGCGAGAAATACAATGCCTACAACCACACTGATTTGGATGGGAATTTCCTGCAGTGGGTCCCCAAATACTCAGGAGTATCCCCCCGGGACCGATGCAAGCTGTTTTGCAGAGCCCGGGGGAGGAGTGAGTTCAAAGTGTTTGAAGCCAAGGTAAGACTCTCCTGGATTCCGACGTGGATGGGGGCACAGGCACATAGTGCCACCCCTGCCTCAGACTGCTTCTGCATGCAACGTGTTCCATCTTTCCTTTCCCAGGTGATCGACGGCACTCTGTGTGGGCCGGACACTCTGTCCATCTGTGTCCGGGGGCAGTGTGTTAAGGCTGGCTGCGACCATGTGGTGAACTCACCTAAGAAGCTGGACAAATGTGGGGTGTGTGGAGGCAAAGGCATTACCTGTAGGAAGGTCTCCGGGTCGTTCACCCCCTACAGGTGGGTTTCCGAAGTGGCTGTACCTAGGCAGAGGGACATAAAGGGCTTTGGGCACTGCTGGCCTCAAATGGAAATTGTGGTTGCTAGTTAATAGATGTGTAGATGGGAGGTGGGAGACCGTGGAAGGGCTTCAAGACCCTGGTTCTCTGCAGAATGTCAGTCATCATCTCTCCTCACAGTCATAGTCAGGGAACTCCTGAGGTAGGAGGTGTAGAACACGTGGTATAGGATCTGGCTGTGGAGAGGATGGTACCAGGGCAGTTGCTGTTTTCTTAGTGGTGGAGACCACACAGTCAGGAATGGGTCTGCTCTGAGTTGGAGGAGAGCAGCGCTGAGTAGCACAGGACTCCCCCAGGCCGGTTATGGAAAGAACATCTAATCTTAAAGCCAGTGAGCCCTGTGCTTCTGTGACGGGCTCATCATCAGAGAAGAGAGAGCAAACCAGTGCCTCAGTAGCCTTGGGAATCTAAGGACTTAGAGCTTCTCACATCCAAGCACCCCACATGCATTAGAGCACCTGGGGTGTCCCAAAGTGCTTTCATTCTGCTGGGCAAGGCCAATGCTGTTATTCCCTACCTTAGGGTCGGGGAACTTACACATGAAAAGATCAATTGACTTTTCTAAGGTCACACTGAGAGCTAATGATAGATAGAAAGAAAACTTGGAATTCTTCTTTTCTTCCTTCTGCTGTACAAAGATTAGACCTAGAGCATCTCTGTGCATTCATGCGACTTTCTAGCATTCAAGCTTCCTTCCAGTCCAGCCCCAGTACCACGGAGGTTTTGCCACTTTACTAACTAGTGTTCTACCTAGTGAAGTCTGCTCTGTCTTTCTCTGTGCTTCTCCCTCTCTCTTTTCCTTCCCTCGTCCTTACCCCTCTCCCTCCCTCCTCTTCCATCTTCTCCTTTCCACGCACATATGTTATAGTAGTGCCTAGCTCAAAAAATAGAACCACTTCGTTGCATCCAACTTGGAAGTATTTTCAAATTTAAGCTCAAAATAAGTAGGGGAAAAAAGCATGAACTATTCAGTTCCTGGGTCCATTAGACATATGGCCTTGGATACTCTCCCTAGCCTTAGACTGGCCCCGGCTGGACATTGAGAAAGAATAACAAGAAATCCACCTGGTGGCCCTCCTCAATGGCTTATCTCAACCCTGTGTAACCCAAATTCCCAGAGGAGGACAAGGGACTAAGTTCTGACATGCTACATAAACTACAGTGAACTGGAAGCATTTTCCCCAATAGTATCCCATCACCAAAAAGATGGTGCTCATGTTGTCTGGACACACTCAAGAGATGACTCCAAAGCAGCAAGCTTTATCCCTTCCCAAGTCCATAGTAACCAAATAATGTATAATGGTTGACTCAAAGAGGCACTTAATCCTCTGCCCTGGTTGGGTTCTGGCATGAATGAGGGCCACATATTTTTCCACATGAATTTGAGCTCTGGGTCTGGAGGTAGCCATGTCTACCTTTTGTGTGTGTGTGTGAGATAGGGTTTCTCTGTGTAGCCTTGGCTATCCTGGAATTCACCCTGTAGACCAGGCTGGCCTTGAACTCACAGAGATCTGCCTGCCTCTGCCTTTTGAGTGCTGTGATTAAAGGCACGCACCACCACCGCCCAGATCCATGCCTACTTTTACCACTGCAATGTAGCAAATTTGTATCTGAATTCTCACCTGAACCAAGGAGAGGTCAGGTTGCCGGCACTTTTCTCCTAGACTCTCCGGTGTTGCGGTCAAGATCTACACATCTAACTGCCTCAATATCCCCGGTAGATTTGCCAAATGAAGCAAAAACCCATGGAAAGCCCAATGCCTGAGACAATTCTGTCTGCCTTGGCAACTAATCTGTTTAGAACTCTGAGACAATCACTTTAGTATTTGTTAGTCGTTCTGTCTGTTCACTCCCAGCCAACTGGGGGAACCCATTTTAATTTCCAGGCTGGGAGGCCACCAGCCCTAACGGTGTTTCCGTCTCTGTCACAGTTACGGCTACAATGACATTGTCACCATCCCAGCTGGCGCCACGAACATTGATGTGAAACAACGGAGTCACCCAGGGGTCCGGAATGACGGCAGCTACCTGGCACTGAAGACAGCCAATGGGCAGTACCTGCTCAATGGCAACCTGGCCATCTCTGCCATAGAGCAGGACATCTTGATGAAGGGGACCATCCTAAAGTACAGCGGTTCCATGGCTACCCTGGAGAGACTGCAGAGCTTCCAGGCCCTGCCGGAGCCACTCACCATACAACTCCTGACGGTGTCTGGCGAGGTCTTTCCCCCCAAAGTGAAATACACCTTCTTTGTTCCCAACGACATGGACTTCAGTGCACAGAATAGCAAAGAGAGAGTAACCACCAACATCATCCAGTCGCTGCCCCATGCGGAGTGGGTGCTCGGGGACTGGTCTGAATGTCCCAGCACTTGTGGCGGCAGCTGGCATCGGCGGACTGTGGAGTGCAGGGACCCCTCAGGTCAGGCCTCTGACACCTGCGATGAGGCTCTGAAACCTGAAGATGCTAAGCCCTGTGGAGGCCAGCCATGTCCCTTATGATCCCCTTGGTGGAAATGTCACAGGCTCCTGGACTTGGGGCTACCGGGGTGTATAGACAAGGGTCCCCTCTGAGGTGATACTACATATCAAGATGGCTTGGCCCTTCCCGGCCTCCTGTTACTGCAGCCCTTTGGGTACTGCCTAATTCATAAGGGAGAGGAGAAGAGGGTACGAAGGTAACAGATCCCAAAGTTGACTGTCCGGTGGACTGGAACTTGCTTAGGTTCAAGTAGAGGGTGTAAGTTAAAAGGTAAAAGTGCACTTACTGATTCACATGGGAGACTTCAGAGCCAGCCTTTTTGCAAAGGACTAGCAACGTTGAATGAAAAAGAAGAGTTTGTTTTCTGTCCAGTTTCCTCAATCATCAATCTACCTCACAGTGGGGGGGAAATCAGTACGTGAGAGGTATGAGGGCAGGCGTTGTTGTAAATGTCAAAGCAAGCTCCATGGCTTTCTCCCAGCTATCTTCAGAAATGGCCATGGATAGCTTTCGTGTTAAAATCCAGTGTCTAAAGGGGGGTGGTGTCCAACACAGGGTTATAGAGAGCCACTTGTCCTCAGGCTGCCACCTGCTGGGGCGGACCCATTTCAACTATTTATGCAAACATGTCTCTGAACTAAAGCGTGATCGTATGCCAATGAAATTGTCTAGTCCAGTTTATTACTTCTTTGGAAAGGGCAGAAACCCAGCATCCCAGAGCAAAGGCTAAAACAAGCTTACCTGGAGCACACACAGGGCAATGATCATCCTCCCTGGGTCTCTTCAACTCTGAGTAAGAAGGCAGCTGCCTCAGGTTCTCACACGCCTACTACACCCATCTCATGCAGGCAGCTGTTCGTCTGTGTGAGCCACACCCGTGATTCTCAGACCAGTGCCCTCAGAGGGTTCAATCCAGCATGAGGGTGTCTGGGCTTCTACAACCACCCGGGGAATATGAAGGCTCCTGCTTTAGAGACCACATTTCAAGAACCCTGCATTAGAGAAAATTCCAACCTTTAAGTTATGATAGCTTTCAGTCCCTCTGGGATCCCTATTTTTTTCATTGCTGTTCGTTTTAATTTTTGTTTGTTTGTTTTTGAGAGAGGTCTCATGTAGCCCAGACTGACCTCAAACTCTCTATGTAGTCAAGGGAGGTCTTGAACTTCTGGCCCTCCTCTTTCCACCTTCCCAGGGCTGAAATTGCAGGGATGCACCGCCATGAGTGGTTTCTAATTGCTTTTTATTTATTTTGAGGCAGGAGCTTGCTATTCTTGAGAAAGAGTATCATTCTATTCAGCAAGCTGCCCTTCAACGCTCTTATATGCTGGCCTGCTCATTTAAGGTAAAACACACACACACACACACACACACACACACACAAGCCTCTCACCTTCTGCCTAGGGACCACCACTCCAATGATATCTGCACCTGCTTAACACCTGACCTCCACCACATTTCATCCATATCTCACAACTCCTTTAGTCCAACTTCTCAATGAGAACTTATTAACCTGGGATAACAGTGCCTATGTGTTACCCACTGGAAACCCCAAGAGCTTCTAAAATCCTGTCTTCAGAGCTCATTTTTCTCAAGGCTCAGAAGATCAATCTTCCACATACGGAACTCAGTCCTTGGGCACAAATGGATGAGAAGAAATGGACATTTAAGAAAAAGGTGGCATCCTAGAAGCCAAAGAGATGGTTCTCGGTGGATAAAGTGCTTGACGTACAGGTGTGAAGCCAGATCTCCTGCACCCACGGAACAAACTAAGTGGCATTGGCAGCCTGCCTGTAATTCCAAAGCTCGGGAAGCAGTGACAGGAACGACAAGCAAACTTTAAGAGTAACTAGAGGAGCTAGATTACTGTAGATTAGTAGTAGATTGGCTAGAACAAACCAATCATCAAGCTCCAGGTTCAGCAGGACACCTCAATAAAGAAAGTGGAAGGTAATCAAGAAAGACAGCTGATATCAACCTCTGACCTCCTCACGCAACCACACACACACCACAAAGACAAAAACATGAAAAAAGAAAGAAAAAAGAAGAAAGAAATGACATTATAGCAATAGAAGGGAAATACCTCAATTTACATCGTCCTATTTTGCATTACCCTTTTTTCTTCCAAGTTTCTCTCAAGACATGAGACATGGGCAGACATGCTGCTAAACTGAGCCCTGAGGCACATGCCTTTAACCCCAGCACTTTGGGAGGCAGAGGCTGGTATATCTCTGTGAGTTCGAAGCCAGCCCAATCTACAGAGCTAGTTCCAGGACAGCCAGGGCTACACAGAGAAACCCTGTCTTAAGAAAATAAAAACAGAAAAAAACAAAAACAGAAAAAAAAGAGGACTTAGACCTTTGGGGCACAAGGTAAGGCCAGTAGGATTGCAGCTACGACTGTCCCCTTAACTGGTCCCCAGACAGTGGCAGTTGACATCTACTTTTTCTTGTCTGTCTAGTTTTTAGGTGAGTAGGAGGCTGAGCTTACCTAAATATAAACACGCGTGCACACACAGGCATGTTGTTGATGAGTGATAAACACGGTGTCCCTCCCGCTTTGGTGTGCCCCAGTTTGCTGAGCCCGATGTGTGTTTCTGCAAGTCTTCATGCCCTTCCGCTCCTCATCCTCCCCCGGAAAATCAAAGGCAAGTGTGTCGCCCTCACTAACTCCCCTGTCAGGCCAGCTGTGCCATCCCGGCTGCATGCATCATTACCAGACACAGCTCTTGCCCCGGAGTTCAGCTGGCAGCAGAGCTGCCGATGTGCAAAGCAGAATGGAATCCGGCTTGGCTCTCCCTTGACGTGTGGGCTCAGCAAGGCTCACAGAATACATACTTGTTTGTGTCTGGAAATTCAACAGCTGCGGCTCAGTACTCAGCAAACAGAGCTACAGAGGGAGACCACACCATGGTTAGCCCTGGCCAGCCACGGCCACCCTTAAGCTCACAGGAGGGAAGGCTGTATTTCCTCTGCTGAGAGTTTGTCTTTTCTAGCCATTGTTCCATTGTCTAGCCAGTGCTTGAAGGAGGCCTAAAGGCCCTAACTCGGCAGGTAATTCAGCCATTAATCTGGATATTCCAAAGGTGATGCATTAGCACCAAGTGCCCCCCCCCACTCCTGCCCAACTTTTCATCCTTGAAATAAGTAAATCCAAAATTAGGCACAGTAGCACACCTATGCAATTCCAACACTCAGGAAGCTGAGGCTTGAGATTAAGTTCAATGCCAGTCTAGGCTACTTAATTAGAGCCTGTCTCAAAAATAAAAGATAACTGAATCCTTGCCTGGGGTTTCTTCTCTGCCCTTCATTCCCAAGTAGCCAACCAGAGACTGCAAATTGAGAAGGAGTATGCCCCTGCCAGCAATCCGCGAGTTTCATCATCCATCCCTAGTCTCATCATCAGTCAAATCGCTTGCCATCTCAAGGTCATTCAAATTAGAGAAATGGAAAACAGCTATCCTGTGATTGAGGCAGATCAGCTGGGGCTTACTGTCCTTTGGTGGCCTATGGCAGGAGGACAACATGTCTTTATGAGGAAATATCTTTTCCATGAAGCATAAAAGAGAAAGTCACCCATGGAAGCTGTCATTTTTGCTGGCTCATTGTGGGAATCATTAAAAGAATAAATACCATGGCCTTATGTGCTTTAGCATAGGAAAATAATGTAGTGGTCTGGAAGTGTACTCTGTGGCTGAATGTGTGTCTAGCGTGACTGAAATCCTGGGTTTTCATCCCCAGCACAGGAAAAGAAAGGGGGGAGGGGCAACAACATAGGCTGGGTAAGACAGAAATACAATATTCTTTTTTAATCTTTTGTTTTTTTTCGAGATAAGGTTTCTCTGCAGCTTTGGGTCCTGTCCTCAAACTCACTTTATAGAACTGACTGGCCTCCATCTCAGGAAGATCCACCTGTCTCTGCCTCCCGAGGGCTGAGACTAAAGGCATACGTCACCACCACCTGACTGAGATGTAATATTCTAAACAATACCAGCTAACACACCAAAGGAACTAACTAAGTTGAATTTTCGCATAGACTGTGAGTGAGCTGCTTCCTTGGTGGGATTGGGACGCCTCCCTGGCACCTGTCGGCTTTCTAGACCAACAAAAACTGTAATGACCTTGTCAGACTTAGCAAGATAGGTGTGCCCTGTTATAACCTGCGACACGTTTCCATGGTTTGCTCTTCAAATGGGAAGATTCTCTGACATTCCATTAAAGAAGTAGCCATCCTTGTTTAACATTGCCTTCCAACCCAGAAGAAACCCCATAGAAGAGAGAAAGGGGTCCTATCAGAAAACTATAGGGAAGAGAGAGAACACATCAATATGGAAGCACAGTCTGAAACTGCAAGCCAAGGCAGAGAGGGATAAAGACACCTGTCCTGTTTGGAACATTTTCCTCCCAGGCGTGGGCTCAGTGAGGAGAGATTGAATCATCCCAGTAGATGATGTCCAATTACCCCAGCAAAGCAGAAAGTAAAGAAGCCTTCCCCAGACCTCACCGTTCCTCATTCCAAACATCTTTTAAGTCTCAGGAGCACTGACAGAGTTGTCCTCAGCCAAACACAACTTCCTGTTTCTAAGAAAGGGAAGGGAAAGAAATAGTTGACAGGGTATTTGGACACTAGAGATTTCGAGTTTCTGTAAACGCAAGTGAATCAGACACATGTGGAATGCATTTCCCCAGAAATAAGAAAAGATGCTGTGAGTTCCTCTTGCTGGACCAGAAAAAGGAGAAAGGGGAGTTGGGAAGGGAGGTGCATCAGATGCTGAAGGGAGCGAGAAGAGCCATGTGAGTGTCAGATCAAAGAGGTGGTCCCCGTGATGACAAGGGCCAGCAGTGCCCCTCCCAAGACCACTTCCTGACTTACAGATTACTCAGAGCTTCTCCACCTCTGAAGTCATAAATCCAAATATCCTGCTCCCTGACCACAACTTGCCATGTTTCCAGATCTTTCTCTAGTCCCACTAAACATCCTACATCCTTCATCTTCAGGATTCCCACATCATTGACCACTCCCAAACATCCTACATCCTTCATCCTCAGGGTTCCCACGTCCTTGATCACTCCCATGTATGGACTTTCTTCATCTGTCTTTACTTCTCCTATATTCGCTGCATCTTTTCCTGGGTTATTTAAGCTCCTTGTTTGGGCACCTCAGGGATGTTGAACATCTCAACAACCTTAACCCATTGACTTTCTTCTTCCCAATACCCCAGGCTCAGATTGGTAGGTCCAGCCACTCCCAAATCTGCCAAATTCCCTTACCTACCTTCTTCTAATATACAAGAGGCTATTCACTTTGGAGACCTGCCACAGATATATGTATAACCCAGGATGAGATTTATGTCTACTCCAGCTCATCAAGAGCCAACAAGAACACAGCAGATCTGACTGGACCCCTGATGCTTTCCAAGACACAGGTTCCTCTCCCAGGGTACCTGCTTCATGGATTTTCTCTTGTCCTCCACAGCAGAGGCCCACTCGACTCATCCAGCCCTCTCTTCACTTTCATTATGGAGTCAAGCAGAATTCATACAAGTGGAGAAATTACCCTGTGGAGCACTGATGTGCCGCTATAAAACTATGGTGTCCAGTAGAAACTGTCCAGCAACCCAAGCACACAGCTCTAGTTCTAGATCCTCAGGGAAATAATGTTGGGCTTTCTCCACTCTCCTCAAGTTCATGACGCTGCCACATCTCACTATGATAAGAAGCATTAGACTCTTCTACTCATTAGAAGCCAACGGTGCATCTCTTTTCACAGTAGACAGGGAAGGACCAGCCACTGTCAACAGATCTGGCAGAGACAAATCTAGAAGAACATTTCTACATTACTGTGGAATAAAGAAGCAGATTATAAGTTCTGCCAATCCTTTTAAATAAATATCAGGTCTAAAAGTCTTTCTTTTTCTTTTGCCTCTGTTCTTGTTACATGGGAGGGTAGAATATATTCCTCCTATCAAAACTGGAAACTCAGGTCTCAACCT